CTCCTCCTCCTCCTCCTCCTCCTCCTCCTCCTCTTGTCGCTTCTCTGCCGCCCTGTGTTCTCCTCAGCGCTGTTTAAAAAGGGGTTTTGTTTTGAAAGCGAGAAAGGCGCAGCCCGCCCCTGTTTTCCTCCTGGTTTTGAGCTACAACAGGAATATAAGGACTTGAGGAACGATGGGGCAGTCGAGGCTGAGAAGTAGAAATGGAGCAACTCTGTGGGAACGTTGACTGTGGAGTGAAGGGAGAAAGTGGGAAGGCAAAATAGAGCAAACCACGCCAAGAGAGAAACACCTTCTTGGCTCCTAAGCGGGGAGCACTGCCCATCTCACCAATTTCTTGGAGCAACGCAGCGTCCTGCAAGAGCGGATGGCCTGGTCCTCCCGGCCTCCCCAGTCAAAGGTCACGGCTAGATTGTCCAAGGGCTATCCAAGACCAAGCACTGACCCCTTAAGGTCTCTCATCCTTTCATGCCACGCTCCACACGCATTTCTTAAACGTGTGTGCTGCTGTCAACTGGTGCAATTGACATAGCCTCCTTTGATTGGAAAGATCCAATTGTTTCATCCTCTTTTTTTCCCTTTCCATTCAACCCTTTCTCCTTCCCCAGATCCCCTTCTCCTTTTCCCCCTGCCCGATGAAACGAGTCCTCTAGGACTCAGACTGGTGCTGTCTTGAACTGAATTTCATCTCCACCAGCTTTCTGCTGGCTTCCCGAGAACGTTTCCCCCCTGCAGTTCCTGTTCTTAGCAGGTGGCAGTTATGCTTCAAAACAATGGTGCAGGTTTTTCTTCCTTCTTACTAGTCTAATTCCACTAGAAATTCTCTTGTGTTTTGTTCTTAAACATCTGCTGACGATACAGAGGTCTTGAGGATGGAACAGAGTAGGCATAATCAAACTGACCTTGAGGACTTTTCAGTACCGTTGCTGACCATAAGATGTTTATACTGGCAACTTTTATCCTGGTCTCCCAGTAGCTATTCCTGATCTTGGCCTCTTGGCCATAAAATGAAGCAGCAGCATTAGTTTTGGGGTGGGCAGATAGGGGAGTGGGTCTCTGCTATCATGGCACAGTGACCTCTCTCTTAAATTTATTTTTTTAAACCCGTCCTCTTGACTAACAACAAGAGCAATTATGCAACAGATAATTGGCATGACCAGAATTGCTCTTGAAATAATCTGGGGCTGGCATACAGCTCCATTGCCTCCCTTATAGGGCAGATCTTAAAACAAAAGCCCAACGCAGCTTTTAGAAGGGTGGGAGGAAGATGAGTGACCCTTCTTCCCTCCTCTTAGAACTCCTAATGTTGCTCAAGTAGCAATAGCACTGTTCCGCAATATCCAGAATTGGCTTTCTGCAACCTGGCGCCCTCTAGATGCGTTGGAATTCTATCTCCCAGAATCCTTAGCTGGCTTGACCAAGGTTGGGGCAGTTGAGCAAGTTGCAGTCCCAACTCCTGCAGAAGTCATCAGGTTGGGGGAGGCTGTACTAAACCCCGTTTTTGCAGAGTCTTCCCAGCATCGATTGCTTAAAACATTTGCACCTAGGTACTGGTTCCATAGCTCTGCCAGAATCATGTCTTCCTTTATAGCAGTGTTCCCCTCTCTCTCTCTCTCTCTCTCTCTCTCTCTCTCTCTCTCTCTCTCTCTCTCTCTCTTTTTTGTAATAACTTCATTACATTTTTAAACAAGAAAGTTAAAAACTAACAAGTACTAATATTTGAGATAAAGGAAAAAAAGAAAAGAAAGGGAGGGAGGGGAAACAAAGCTAAAAGTCCAGAAAGAAAAGAAAAAGAAAAAGTATAAGGAAACAACTTCTGATTTTTCTTTTACAACAGCTATAGATATAGATTTAAACTGAACCCTTACTCTAGGGTTACAGTGTAACTCTCATTTTTTCTATCCTCTAATATTTCTTCTAATCATCAAACCCGCGTATCATCATTTCATTTTCTTTTTCTGTTTCACACAAAAAGTCCAGAAGGGGTTCTTTATAGCAGTGTTTCTCAACCTCGCAACTTTAACATGGGTGGACTTCAATTCCCAGAATCCCCCAGCCAGCATTTGTGGACTTCAACTCCCAGCATTCTGGCTGGGGAATTCTGGGAATTGAAGTCCACCCATCTTAAAAGTTGCTGAGGTTGAGAAACACTACTTTATAGGAATAGTGAGTGGGCTGCTGTCTCTACCCTTAAAATCAGAATAATGTGCCGGGCACAATCCAGAGAAATGAATCCAACCTACATTACCTTTTTACGCACCGAAATGACTCTAAAGTACTGTTTCTGTGTCTTGAAGTGGTAACGTAGGGAGTGATCCAAAGATAAGGCAACGGGCCACTCCAGGATTTAATGCCCTTTGTCGCATCTTTTAAGGATGGGCTGGGAGGATTGGCTCCATTTATGTCCGCAGACTTCGGTCTTTTGCTCCCAGCTTCAAACATGTAGAGCTTCCAAGGAATCTTAGGTTAGCCTGTACGCTAACCAGGTCTCATCACAAGCTTGTTGAAATAAAAACCCATATTCTGCTGAAGCAGCGGCTCCTTTTATTCACAGACCATGTTCAGTGGAATGTTGGAGACCCTGTCAGTCTCCATGCTAGTTGCAGGAGAATAAAACAGGGGACCTTGCAGCAATCCGAGGAAAAGTTTGCAT